TCTCCGCCATAGCCGCAAACTTGAACTTATTCCCATACCTCTCCAATCCCTGCCGATGCCTCTCCAACCTCTTCACCGCATCTCCCAAACTCCTTCCTTCTTTCACCACCCCAGAAACCCCACCATTCGAACTCGAAGAGAGGTTCTTGATCACGTCCATCAGCGCGACGTATACCTCGCTATGTACCACCCAATCGCGCTCTGCGCCAAGTGTGTGGGATAGGAAAGCGTACATCACTCCGGGGAGGTGGGAGACCGTGAATAGTCGTGGTATGGAGGGATGTATCCCCGATCCAGAGGACGAATCGGATTCAGAGGACGAGGAGAGGGAAGCAGCTTGAACAAGCCAACTCGATACGTTCCTCAAGGTACCCACCAACATCCCCTCGAAAGCCCTCGTCCTCTTATCCGTACGCGCAATCACAACATTGATAAACTCCCTCGTTGTCAAATTCGCAACGAACCCCGCGTATTCCTTATCGAAGCTGCACAGCACTTCGAATAAGGCAATGGCGCAGATGGCAGAGCAGCAGGTCCGAATTGGGCATGATGAGCCACCAGAGCAGGTGGGTGGAAACCGCGTGGGTTTGAAGCAGCCCCTGCAGTGATTTGTGTAGCAGGATGCACAGGAGGAGGCGGGGGCGAAGGGTTCAGTTGACTGTGTGAAAGGTAAATCAGCGTGAAGAAGGGAAGAACGAAAGAGGGAACATACAGAAGATCGAGGACTCTTCACAACCTCACGACACTTCGAACACCGTCTACTCGCAGTAAAAAAATCACGGTGATGCGAAGGTTCGTGCTCAGGCGAAATATTCTGTGCCCGAGAACGCGTAGCCGGCCGCGTTGTGGGCGTTACTAGTGGTGTAGGTGTCATCGTCAAGCCGAGACAAAGATCCCGCGCGGAGGCTGACACTTCTTTTTCCATAGGTCGTGATTTTGTTGTTGTCGCTGAAGGTGAGTGGGAGATGATGGAGGGCGTCATGCCATGGGTATCTGGTCCTGGTTGTGTTGTTGAGAACGAGGATGGGTCTGGCGGTGGAGCTGAGACGGAAGGTGCGTGTGCACGGCGGGAAGAAGAGCTCGCGATGGCCCCAGTCCCTCCAGATGGTTGTCGGGAATGTGTACGTGAGGGCGGGGAAGTCGAGGGGGACATCGATGGTGGGGATGATGATGGAGTCGATTGGCCTGCAACTGATCCACTTCTTTCGGCTTTATAACCCTCCACGGTGGCTGACTTTCCCGTGGGTGCCATATCATCCACCCTCACTTTTGACGATGACGAAATAGATTGAGAAGGAGGTGGTTTTGCAGTTGATGGAGCTCGTAGACGACGGAATGAAGAATCGCCGCAAACCTCGGAGTAGTGATGTTTCGGACGTCCTACTCACAAAACGTAAGTCGTCCCTCTCCCATAAACGTTCGCAGAAGTCGTCTTACCCAATGTCCCAACAGCTGTTGTCGACCTATCGTCCGTCCTTCACCAATCAGTCATCATCCTCTGAAATTCACGACATCGCCCTCGCTCGCCATCCCTCGGAGAATCGTCTTGAGCATCCTCCGTTCGTCAATCCGGCGCGATGTCGTTGAAATGTGGTGATTGTTGCTTAAAAAGCATTTTCTGATTGTACCGTCACTTTCTTGCACTTCATATCGGAAATACAGCTTACTGACCTTTTACCCGTTGTCGTCGTCTCCCTGACAACTCTCCACATCGCATGACTTGAAGTTTCCGTGCCAGGTTGTGTCCTCATCGTTTAGCCCCATCCAAAGTCCGAATCACATCAACCTCAGTATCCCAAACCTCCGCACCCTTGCTCTTCATTAAAATCTCATACACCTTCTCCGACACCTCCCTCGGCACTGTGTGCGCCTTGACAGCAGGCTCCCCTTGAGACCGAACGAGACGCATCGAGTCCTGGAAGAAGTTGTCGATGACGTCTTGGGAAACGTCCGTGAATGAAGAGCAGAGCTTTCGGAAGTATGACAAGGCGGCGGACGGCTTTAGGAGATCCACAGCGCCAAAATCGCCGTCGGCTCGTTGGATGGGATGAGTACG